ATTTCAGAAAAACTGTAGTCAAAATTATGGCATGTTTCCAATATAGAAAAATTTTTGGAATTAGTATGCGATCACTAACTCCAATCATTTTCATCTACGAAAACTTCACGGTAAGTCAACAGGACGAACTTTTTGACTAGAAAAGATCTGATGAAATAGAGTGGTGGGCATCAATCGCCTGCTATATGTATAATGAACTGTCGTTCCATTGAAAAATGACTGTGACTGAGAGAACGTAAAATTTAAAAGAGTAAAGAAAAACCAAAAATTATGAAATTGTGAAATAAAAAACGTCGAACAATAACCATGATGCTTCATCGATATTGGCAGTATGCGCCTTAGAGTTTTGTATCAGAATAGTTTAGCGTTGGCCGAAACGACTTGTTCGGTGCTCCAGTTCGATAGGTGTGAATTAAATATTCTCGACAACTTCTGTTCACATGGAGAGTGCAGAACATCGACTATGCTGAACAAAATGAACTGTTTTGGGGCACGATGACGGCGATCGAACATAGACCAACAGCAACTTTCCATTTCTCCCACAATAACTTAGACGACAGTTTAGTTCGTTGGACTGAACGTGTCGCAGAAGCTCTCGGTTTCGTACTCAAGTCGGTATTTGGCAAGAGGATCATTTTCGACATTCGTTTGTATTACTTTGAGACAATTGACGAGACGATTCCTACATAAGAAATTGCATAAAAATTGCATAGAAATTGATAGAATCTGTAGTTGAATAATCGGCAAGTGTCATCAAATCCGGATGTTTTTAAGTCCGGGAAGACTTTTTATCCGGAAATCCTACTCACCCATACAGCTCCACCCGGAAGTAATTTCATCCGGATTTAAAAGTCCGAGTAAGTAGTTAAAAAGTAAAACTATTCTGTATGAGTTTTTCACTTGCAATAAAAACCAATGCAAGTCCGATTGTTAATCAGTTGTATATTAGTCTTAGATCGTACACCAAGTAAGTCCAGTGTTGATTAATGGAGTAAGTCTACAATACCAAAAATAACTCATATTTCTAATAATATTTAGTGATATTATTTTTATCTTCTACTTTTTTAGTTCAAAAAATGTAGTACTGTAAATACGACGAAAGCGTTTCTTTGTACTGCAGGAAGTCCTAATTAAACTATTCTCAGCTCTGTCAGTAGTTTTAAAAAGGAATAAAGTGAATCTTTCTATAAATTTCTATTATATTTTATTTGAAGTACCAACCGTTCACCCGAACTGTCTCATAATGTAAAAGTAGTAAAAGAAAACTATTCCACTGTGTACAACACACACAACAGTGCACAACAAAAACATAGAATCCAAAACTTTACATAGAAAGAAACAAGAAAAGAATAAGTTTATCTGAACTAATAATAATGAAAGAAAATAGTCACTACTTTGATGACATTTTTGCATGAAAACAATAGCTCACTAAACACACTTACAAATACAACACCGTTAACTTTTATTGTAATGCAACCGAAGTTGCACTAAATTTTAGTTTTAAGTAACTTTAGGAGTTGACCGACATCACAGAATGATGCTGTAGTATGTGCGAGCATGCCTTATGAATAAAACGAACTCCAAATATACGTTAATAAGGAAACTACTAGTATTACTATTATACTCTATGACATGCGGACTTACACTACTTTTTAATATAAATGTCAAATCGAGAAATTTTTCCCGGACTTGAGCGGTTTTTTAAGACGCTACCGGAGTTGATTGAGGAAATTCATCCAGAAATATGTCATCCGGATTCCACCATGTTTCGTAAATGATTCATTCGGACATGGTGGATTCTGGATGAATAGTTTTCGGATGAGCTAAAAACAGGATTTTAGTAATCCGGATTTTATGACACTTGAATAATTTGGCTTCGATGCTCTAGAACATCAGTTTAGAGCAAATACCTGCCGAATGCTACATCTCAACTTCTTGTGGATCCAAATCTGTTCTCATTGGATGTAAGAATAGACCGTTAGACGAAACTGCGTCAGTTAAAATGGACTAAGACTGCCTGTCATCCATAAATTATCGTCAGATTTTGTATCACCTAGTGAGAGAAAGAGTTTAAAAAAATTGACAGCCAGATGTCTTTCATTGGTGATCTAAAGGCAGCTGTTTTTCATTCTGTTTAGTTTAATGTAGAAGTTAATTTAAAAAAATTTATTTCTATTAGCAGTGGTAGCTATGTTGTTGTTAAGTGACATATCTCCCCAGCTCTGAGTGGCATTCTGATCAAGAGTTATGAGAGTTTTACCGGAAGCCCTAAAACATGCTGGCGCCACCATATCTCGAAAGCGACTTTCACCATGACACTATTTCGTGACTGCAAGCTTTCTCCGTAGCGAAACATCGTAGAGATCTCGGAAAGGTCTTAAATTGAAGCTAACGCATATGGCTAGAGGCTTATAGAGCCCGATTTTGATATTCGGCCTAGGTTTGTGGTAAGAAAATTATCTTTATGTAAATTAATGAGGCTTTTTCGAATTTTGGACTTTCGACACTCACCATTAATTTGAAAAGTAAAATATCAAAAATCCGGCGCTATTAACCTCTAGTACATGTGTTTTGGTCAAGTTGAACGTAAACGACGTCGTTTACGATGGACGTAATACGTTGGCCGGGTTTACGTCAAAATACGACGAAATACTATAGTATACGGTCGTGAATCTTTGATCTGGGTATAAATGATAGAGAAAGCGACGAATCCAGGAGTGAGAGTATAAAATTCAAAATACCTGCCAGGTTTTCAGGTAGAATCCTAAATTTTTTCAAATCTTCAGAAAATTTTCAAGAGGAGAAAAAAAAACAGTTTCCTTCTATGTATTGAACAACTTTTTTTGTAGGTAGATATTCATACTATCCTACGATTGTTCTTTTTGGATATTTTGACGCATTTTTTAAGATAAAGCATCTCTAGATGATATCTCGCTGCTTGGCTATAGAAAACAAAAGTATTAAGCTCCATCTTGAAAGTTTGTTCTCGCGTTTAAGAAAACCCCCGAAGTAGGCTATCTCTAGTGTCTACTATAAACCTCAATACAAAATAAGTCGATATCAGCGATTTTTAGAGAATCTTTTGAACATTTTCTGGAATTCTGTTTTTCTACAGATAGTAGCGATTGTTTTTATTAACAGGCTTTGATAAAAGATAGCAGGGGGCTGCGGCGTTTTGCTGTTTTACAGCCAAGATTGTGACGCATTTTTTTGTAAAACAATAAGTTTAGAGTTTACTGTGAAAGCGGATTTTCTGGAAGATCTGTCAAAAAGCGCTGTCTTTCCTAAAGCGTTTTTTTCGAACTTTTCAACATAATCGACACAAAACAAATAGTCTGAAATGCCCTCTACATAACCGCACAAGCTCCCTCTTTCAATCCCCAACCTTTTCCGGATGGTTCCGGTTTTCCTGACACTCCCAGGATCAACAATGGGCCTGCGTGACAAATCGCACAGCCGGTGGGAACGATTATCGACCATGCCAGAAGAACGAGTTGTTTTTAGCATAAGCATAGGAAAGGAAAAATGCATACCTCTCTCAAAATCTAACCAGTGTAGGCGCGAGATGATAGGAGTGATATCGCAAAATCGAAACTAGTAAAAGATTCATAAAATACCGATAGAAAACTTAGTTTTGTACCATCACTACAAAAAGAACTGAAACCAAAGAATTGTTATTAAAAGATGTTGCTGATGAACAGATAGTGCAGAACAAACAAAGTTATCTGATAAATGTAAGTATTTACATTCGACATTTATAATAGAATTTTCTGACAGACAATAGATAAGAAGAAAACGATACGCCTAATCGAGAGCGGTAAATGTTTTGAAACTTTCAGGTTTTCTGCCCAAAGTAACGTGGTTTTTAGGTTTTTCAAAAGCTTTCCTGTAATTCAGGTATTTAGGTGAAATCTCACGCCCGCGAATCCTAACATTAAAAATAAATCAATAACGACAACCTTTCTTACGCGGTACAAAATGTTCCTGAAAATGGCAACGATATTGTGCCTATGTATGTTCTACTAGAAGAACTATCTGGCCGATTAACGAAACAGTTTTTTCTTTAAACTCAAAATAAGCGCCATTTTCCTTCTGTAGAAGAGTAGATCAACGTTTGGACTAAAAATAAAATTTGTTGTTTTTCACTTCGTTCGTTAGAGAAAAACATATAACTGAGGTTTAGATTAGATTGGATTATACAACTGATAATAGAAAACGAAAATTTATTCCATTTTGTAACCATAGCAGACTTTTCTCTTTCTTTCTGCAAAATACGAGAAAAAGAAAGGCAAGAGAATGATATTGATCTATATCTACGGGTAGAAAGATATATTCTACGCATCCGTTTTTTGTACGCTTAGAATGTAGTCTACGTTCGATGCATTTCATGATTTTTGACGGCTTCCCATAACTAAGTACCGTGTTTTGTAAGAAAATGTCTGTAGTTTTGTTTTATTTACTTACAACATTTGAGTTTTTGTTTTATCTATGTAAATGACTCAAAGTGTATGTCCATCCAGAAAATTTATTTTGAAAAGATCGAGTAACAGAGAGCAGAAGAGAAAAATCCTTTGTTACAAAAAATGCAAAAACATAAGTGCCGTAACGCAAAAAATTGGTTACAAATGCGAAATTCTTCAAAATTTTGTATATTCTTCTAGAACGAAATACTTACAAAATTCTGCAGTAGTTCGACTCACCCTCATTCACCACTAATGTTTTTGCATATTTATTTTGCGTTATTCACTTGATTAGCGCAAAAAAAAATTTGGGTTTTGGCGACATGGGTAATCAAACGCTATATTGACTATTGAAATTTCACATCAGTCATTATTTGAGTAGAGTAACAATATTGCCTTTGTTTTCTCCTTCTTTACTGCTTTTAAGTCTATCGTTTATCGAGCAGGTGTGAGCAAGATAAAGTCATTTTTTTAAATTTCATCATACCTTGCTTTCCTGCATCACATGCAGTATTCAATTTTTTTACAAATAAATGTCAAATGTCAATCAGCATCTTGTGTCATGGTGATTCCATCACTCGTGGTTACTACGATCATGGCTGGAAACACCATCCTTATTCACGTAAACTCGGTGAATTATTAAAAGATCACTTTCATTCCTCGATCACATTTAATATTACCACCCAAGGTATCAATGGTGAAACAACTGCATCCATGTTGAAACGATTAGAAAAAACATTCAGTGAGACGAAGACAAAATATGATTGTCTAGTGGTTTTGGGGGGATTAAACGATTTAGGAGATGAGACACCAGATCTTATTGCTCAAAATCTCTGTGATATGGTAGTATTGGGTAGAAAAAACGTGAAAAACAGTTGTGTGCTGATCTCAGTGCCGAATTGTTACCCAGATCGCAGCTATTCGAAATATCGAGAAGCAAAAGATGCGGTCAATAAACGATTGAAAGAGTATGTAGACAAACAAAATGGTTCGTTAACGCCTCGTGTTCATTTTCTCGATTTAACTGAACATGGTCTCGACTTTTTTGCCATGGATGATAAACAGAGAAGCTTAATTTATGATGATAATATTCATTATACGCCCGAAGGATATGATCTACTTGGTAGTGCGGTGTTTAATGTACTTAAATCTGATATTTCTGTTTAAACGAAGAATAAAGTATATAAAAGAATGGTCTGTTGAAGAATGATGTCATCAGAAATCTATCCTCATTTTACCATTCAGGATCTTGAACTGACATGTTTGTTCCAGTTTGTTAATAAATCATTTACTAGTATTTAGATAACATTTTCCAGGCAGCTGAGTCGATGAAAATAAGAAAATTTGTACGCGCTTTTATTTGTTCGAGTCGGCGTCGCGAACGTTGGACGAAGTAATTTACTTGTCTTCAAGTGTTAAACAATACAGTCAACACCATCGTATTGATTTTTCTAAAATAACCTCAGTTTTATTCGCATACACTGTAAAAAAAGAGTGTCTTGATAAATCACTCGGCTGGCTTCAAAATGCGTCCACAGTGTGTTCTGAAGGCACAGGTGCGTTTTCTTATCTTTTTACTATTAGTCGTCTTAATGTTTTAAAAAGCTCCTCTAAGTAGCTGCTTAGGTGCATCTGATAGACATCACTATACAGCAGAAAGGTACAATGCACTAGCTTGGTTGGTTGGTTGGATATTCTAATATTTCTCCAGAATGTTCTCAGTCAGACGTGTGACAGAATGGTAAATGGGTGTGACATGAAGAACTCAACAAGCTATCTCCAACGCACCTACTCCTGAAATCTGAAAACCTTCTCGAACAAAGATACACGTTCAAAACTGAGGTTTTTCCACAAGAGCATATTTCAAAAAATCGTATTTTCCGCAAACAATTCGAAAACTAGTATGACGCATAGAACTCAACGAGCTCTGTCGAATGATATATTCTGTGTTGCTTCAACATTTATATCAATCCGAAAAACATGAAATAGAGATCCCAGTCTAACACCAAGTGTTTTCTACGAGAGCATATTTCATAAACTCGTTTTTTGCGCAAACATTCTCGGTGAGAGGTGTGACACACATGAAAACTAGTGCGACATACGCAACTCAGTGAGCTCTTTCAAATGGTATATTGTTACTACTATGTGTACTAGTGTGACGCATACAACTATTCTATTTTTGTTACTGAACTTTGGAAATCAGGAAAGGCGCGGCCTTGATCGTTTGATGAGTAGAGTTGATATGGGTGAATTTAGAATAAAAACGTGAAGTAAACGTCGCTTTTTTAAGAACTTTCTTATTTATTTAATACTTTTGAAATCTGATTTGACAGACCTCTCGAGTTGATGATAGTCTGTCGATCTATCCAAAAAGTTTTCGAAAATCTTGGCACCTAGTCCGAAAACGACCCTGTTATGCCAGGAGATATTTACCGCGTGCACTATTGCAACGAATAAAGGGAATGTTAGAAGTAATGCACTTCAAGATGACATTGATAAGATCGAAAGATCTCACAGTGTATTTAATATATCATGAACGATATGCGTATGCATAAAAAAAGAAAAAACAAGACACTTACAGAAAATATATTAATTCTATTTAATATACATAATTGATATACTGATCAACAGTAACTAATAAACAATAAAAAATAAAAAAAAATAACAATCGATAACTTTTTTCTTTTTTTTGCGAGCGGTGGAGTTTTATACTCTAAACACTGAAAATACACATATAAAATTAGTAAAAGATATTTTATTTTCCAAGGAGTAACCATGTTACCTTGAAGACATTACCTAGTACAATACTACAACCTCTATAGGTTCATCTTTTGTATGTACAGTAGCGGTAGCTAGGATATTTCGCCACATTGCCCCGACCACGTTTTGACGGATCCAAGCACGTGCGCCTTTAGCTGCATTTTCCTTCTTTATCTGAAAGATCTTTTCTTCGACCTCGCGTAACTACCTCGCAGCTCTTTAAATTCTGCGGACCAGCGTGGTTTTCGGTGGCGTCTCTTTTTGAAATTAGCTATATAAACTAAAAATAGAGAATAAAAAGAAATTAAAAGTACAGAGTAATAAATGTATTTTTCACGTAATTTTAGATGTCTATTATACGCTTTATTGCCATATTTACGATAGTTGGAACTGGTATTAGTATAAAGACAACACTGAGAAGTCAGATGAAATCAGATAAAGAACGAATTGTGCATGGAGCCTCAAGCGTTACATTTATATTAAAAGACAGATAACGATCAGTGGAACGGCTGCAAGTATACCAAATTATTCTAAATGAAGTATATATACATTAAGTAGAAACGGAACTTAATCATTGTCTATTCTATTTATATTCAGCTTTAACACAATGATTTCTCTGATATATCTTGCACTGTATTTCATGTTATCTATTGTTGAAAGTAAACGTAAAAAACAAATTTTATTACTTGATACTTTTCGTTACACCGAAGACAAAATTGTGAATACTACTGTTTATTGTAAATGCGAAGATTGTTCGTGTCCTGGGCGTGCTATACAATATGGGTCGGATCCACCAAGTATAAAGAAACTGCATTTATTAATACTAATCAGGTGATCTAGACGGAATTAATATAAGAACTCTTTATAAGAAATCATGTGCACTTGCATTCATGTCACCACAAGAAGTTGGGAAAATATGGACAGTAATTATCGCTCGATTTCAAGATATTGAGCATATTGAGGTATTTTACGATTATGTAACAAATAGATGGGTGGATGATGATGCATTATTCGATTTATCATTATGGAACTATTTTGATTTTAAAAGTTCAAGAACAAATAATAGTTAAGAAGGTTGACATCATTGTTTAAATACTGGTTTCATATCATACATCCACAGTTTTATATGTTTATGCGTGCAATTAAAAACGATTATAAGTTACTTACAATTCAGCAACATCACGCACGCCATACAGCCATTGGTACAGTACCACAAAGGAAAAAATTATTTGTAAATCGAAATGTGCGATTAGACGATTTAGAAAATCGTTATAAACAGCAAACATTAACACTGGACGAATATCTTGAAAAAGCGAAACGATTAATTGGTATCAAAAAATTTTTATTTTTATTTATTTATCATTCGTGTTCTTTCTTTCTCTAATAATGTACACGTATACTTTTTCAACAGAATCATTTGGAATAATTCAGCATTCTTTTTAATTAGTCTGTTTAAAAAAACAATATTAGGTAGAATAACCTATATTCTAGTTTTAGATTTATTTTTCGACGAAACGGTAATTCACTGCTAGATCAATATTATCTTGTTCAATAAATTTCTTCAGTTTCAAGATGAATATTAGTTGAAGATGTATACTCGTTAGTATCAATTAATTGTAATGCTGAATTATAATAGTCTACTGCTTGATTACATTTCTTGTTATCAAAATATATTCTGCCGATTTTAGTTGACATCATATTAGGTGCATTTAAGTCAATCTGCTGTACTGTATCTAATGTTTCAAAAGCATATTTTAATGCTAATCCATATTGACGATTACCATTATATGCATAAGCAAGACATTTAAACATAAAATAAATTTATTTGATCATCAATTGCTGAGTGTTTCATTATATTTCCAGAATAATCAGTTGCTCTACTATATTCTTTTAAATTTATTAAATACTAACCAAATAAATGATTTTGTAATTGTGAATGTTGTTGCATCATATATTCATGTTGTTGTTCAAAAAAGATCATCCTTAAAATACTCAACAGCATTAACAGTCATCATAGATATAATCCATATATTTTCCTTATATTCAACATTTGTTATTCCAAATATTGATCCAATATCAGACCAAACTTCTTTCTCGAACATGAAACTCAAGTGTGATATATAAGCATAAGTAATATTATTCAAAGAAGTGTAACATTTAATTTCATATAGAACATTAGTAGTAAATTGTTGTGACTACTGATTGAGATTGACTTGTGGATAAATAACCATTTGTTTCTATTAGTTTACCAATTGTTTGTTTAGATATTCCAATATCTTGATGGGGTAATTTTGTGCCAAGATAAGCTATTAATGTTCTATAAATATCTCGATACAAATCAATATATTCGTCATATTACTGTTTCAAAACCATAGAAAGATAGCTAATAAAATATCTTAAATTCTATAAAGCATAAAAGTTTTCTGTTCTCAATTCTTTATTAACAAAATTACATGGAAACCATTTTTTGTATACCATCTTATAGCATCCACCACACGTTTGATATTCAAGTTCAAAATTTATCAATTTCTTTTAAGCCAATTGAACTAAAACGCACGCACGAACGATAATAATCAAGCATTTTCTATTTCGATTGCTCTGTTTGTGTCTCTTTGAAGTCAGTAAGTGTGTATGGAAGTAACTGATACCATGAATAATCTACTGATTCATGTTCTAGATCCCGTAAAGATTTGTTATTTTGATTGATAAAGATTTTAATAATGCACGTAGTTGTTTTTCCAATGATTAAAATAAATCTTTATATTCTGTATAAATACCAATTAGTTTAGAATAATTTTCTTCATCATATAATAGATCTAGACATAATTGATCCTTAAAACAAAACATCCAAAATTAGTTTATTTTGTCTAATTTATGAAATTTTCTCCATGTATCACGGAAATATTCACTGCTAACAATGAGAATAATTTTATTAATTTGAATTTTGTCTATTGTATTCGATAATTCGTTTATATCAGAGCATATGAAACATTGATCAAGCAGTTTCTTGGAAAAGAAGCAATCCTGCCATGTAAAGACATGTGTAGAGTTTGCCACTGCGGCGTAAAATGATCGGTCAGGTTTCATCCAGACCCCTATCATTACGAAAGCCCAGTAAAAAGTAAGGCTCTCATAACACGTTAAAAAGACATAAATTAAAAAAACAGGGCTTTCGTAAAGATAATGCAAAAGGGATTAATGTCTAAGTAGTGCTATGACAGGGCTTCCGTAACACTCTTTAAGGGACTTTTACAACGAGGTCTGTGTGTACTTTTTACAGTGAAATAGCTGGCGATTAATGTCCTCTAACAGGACTTTCGTAACGAAGTGTATATTTACTTTTCAAGTTGAAATGATGTGTGATTCTACTCATTCACTCTCACTGTTTCTATCTATTTTCTCTTTCATTTACAATACGAAGTAGCATTCGTTACGAAAGCCCTATAATAATACAGCATTATCATTTATATCTGGGATAAAGAGTACATATAGACTCCGTTCCGAAAGCTCTGTAAGACCATCTACTAGACATTAATCAGGCATTGTTGTTACGAAAACCCTGTTAGTGATCCTAGTGACTGACTATTCCATAGAGAGGATATCACCCGATTAATAGTGTTACGAAGGTCCTGTAAAAACAGATACGAAAACCCTGTAAAACGAAGGTTTTCCGGAATAGAGCCCTGTTATATTTTTAGTACACAAGTCCTGTAAAAAGTCAATTTACAGGACTTTCGGATTACGAAAGTCTTGTAAAAAAAGAGGGGTCTAGATGAAACGGTCTAACATACAACAAAATTAATTTTTCTGGAAATGTGTCCAATCGATTCTAAAATTGGGATTACGAAGAAAACTTCGGACCTCAAACTGTCCCTTTACTGGTGATTTGAGTGCCTTCACTTAACATTCCCGACATAATTTATATTTTAATCCAATAATTAAAATTTAGAAATTTTCCACTAATTTAATTGTTTTCAACTGCAAACTCAAACATTTTTTGAAAACAAAATGAGTCATTCTGTTCAGTTTTCTGTCTTCTTTCAAATGAGACGTTGAATATAAGTTAGATCATGATTCAACTTCAAAAAATATAAATAATAAATTTCTTGGATCATAGTCAAACGTCATATTTTTGTTTATTTCATTTCTGGATAAATCTAAAACAAATTTATATCTAATTGAACTAAAATGCTCAAGTACTTTAGCTATTAATTTTGTTATTAATAATTCTACTAATTGATGAAAATTTATTCGTTATTCATTCAATGTTGTATTCGACATATACAGCATCTTTTTAATAAAAAACACAATAAATGTTGAAAAAACTTTTGAATTATCACTAAATAAACATCGATCAATACCAGTCATAATTTTATTGTTAATCAATTAATCATTGTAGAGAATACTTGTAGAGCTACTGTCAGTCGCGTTCGATTCACATTTGTTTGAGTTACAAATGATATATTGCAATAAATTTTGCCGCCTTCATAGATCTGGCGTGACTTCTCAAAACGCAAGTGGCTCGAAAAAATCACTCAAACTTTTTGAAGAGCTGTTTAAAGAGCTAGACTGAATCTATGAAGGCGATAAAATTTATTGCAATATATCATTTCGTAACTCAAACAAATATGAATCGAAGTAGCTCGAAACGTTTTAGCAAGAAAAACTTCTAGATGATTCTTTAAGTGACTTGAGAAAGTGACTCGTCCATCTCTGGAGTAAACATTTTTTTCAGACTCGTGAAAATACAGGTTAAAGATCAAATATTCCTTTTTCAAAACATTTGTTCACTAATAAAAGAAGTGTTTGTTGAGCCAGGACGGTGTCAGAATGCCAGGATGGATGTTTAATTAGATCGTCAAGTTTTAGCTCGTTTTTTTGTAAAATTAGCGCAAGCGGTCACCGGTCATGACTGCCGTTGTCTGCGATTGTCCATATAACATGTACGGTTCACTGTGGTTGCCGTCTGAAACAACGTCAGAGACGACGGGTATCGGGTTTTGTTCTTGGAGAGACACCCGTGAGTCAATGCAACTCATTCACTGATTTGTTTTGCGACTCTATTAATGATAGGAGAACACAAGTTTTGTGCAGTTGACATATAATTTTGAACTTTTATAATTTCTGTGAAATCAAACTAATGAGTCAGAGAAAATCGTTCAAATCAGTAATGCTCCCTTCTTAAAAAAATGAATGTGCACAGCCAGGTCTCTCTCAAAATAGAGAGAGACCAAAGAACGTTTTATCAGCGGTTTTCGCCAGTTTTGAACGTTCTTGTTCGGCTTAGGTTTACAGCAAGCTTTAGGAGAGAAAACCATCTTGATAGGCGGAACAAAAATTTTCGAAAAAATATGACCGGCGAGAACCGCTTATGCGTTTTAAAAGGGAGTGGCTGAATCACTCCCTTTCTAAAATAACCGCCGATCTAAACGAGTATCTTTTTTTCCAACCTCGGATCGCAGTTTTATACAAAAGTAATAGCCATCATCTACGGGTAAATCGAAAAAGGGCGATTCTAGGGAATTTAGCGCACACGTACAGTGGGCAATTTCGGCTAGAGCAGGCGGACATGTGCTATTAATTCAATAATAAATTTTGATAGAAAAGAGCTAGAGAGCTCCTATCTTCGCCATCCAAAAGAGATGACTTGAAAACATGTTTTCATAATCAACACTGTTTTCAGGAGAGTTTTCTGAAACAGGTTTTCTAGGAGATCTTTGGACAACTAGGCCGTCTGTAAACATTTTCCAGTAGGATTGTATTGCTTTTTTTCCATGGACTGATAGCCCGTGATGTTCTCTTCAAAATGGGAGTAAAGTGAGACCTTGATTTTCCGTGGCTCGGGCGTTGTATTGAATTTTCTCCGAGT